TTTTTTTTTTTTCTTTCTTTTTTTTGTACTGGGGAGTCGAACACTGGTCCTTGCGCTTTTGAGGCAGGTGGTGGAACTGCTGAGCTAAATCCCCAACCCCGATGATATCTTTCTGGAGTAAGATAGAATCTCCGTGTTGTCTTAATTTGCATTTTTTAAATGACCAAAAATGTTGAACTTTTTTTGTTTTTGTTTTTTGGTACCGGGGATGGAACTCGGGTTCTTTAGATTGCGAGGCCGGCACCGGAATCACTGAGCTAAATCCCTAGCCCAACATTTTTTTCACATATTTATTGGCCCAGCCACCTCGTCTTGATTTCTGCTCACACTATTGGCCAGAACTTAGTCACATGGCTGTCTAGCTGCAAGGAAGGCTGGGAAATGTAGTCTTTTTCCTAAGAGACCATGTGCCCAGCTGGAGTATTAGTTATTACTAAAGGAAAAAAGGGGAACAATGATATTGAACAATCATCTGTGTTCTATGCTGGGTCAGTGTCCTGCGGCCAGATTGTAATGACTTTATTTTAGAATTCTGAGCTTGTGAGCAAGGTTTCTGCTATTCATTTATAGCCATGTTGATTTCTTGTCACCTATGATTTTCGTTTCTCATTAGAATATTTTGCCAGGGGACAGCAGGGTTCCATTCAACAGTGACTTTCTTTTCAGAGTTTCTTTTCTGAAACCTTTATCCTCACACATTGAATAAGTGCCCAGCATGCTGGCCTCCCCTTCTACCCCAGTCACAGACTCTCTCAGCACAGATCCTCCTGCCTCATCATTCCACATTTTGGCAGAACCTGGTGTGAAGCTGCAATTCCCTCCCACTGCTGGGACTGGAAAGTGAACCTCCAAGGAGGTTCAGACCTGCCTGCCACCCTTGATGGTAGGCTGGGAGGATGTCCCAATGGATGAGGTCCTACCCACTCCGTTCCTGCTGTTGCCCATCTCCAAGCTCCTTTGTGATCTGGGCCAGAATTCTTTCTCCTTCTCTCCCACAGTGACAGTTCCTCCTTGAGTTTTACACGCAAGTGCAAGCCCTCAGGTTTGAGATTCAAGAAGCAACCAGCAGGCTTCTTCACACACTTTCTGCCTCACAAATTGGCCTCGTTGCCACCCGCTCCTGAGGCCATATCCTGCCTTTTGTTCCATCACATCATCTTGGTTCCACCCATGACAGTATATTTACCACACCATGTTCTGGCTGTTTCTTGGACTTGCTCTTCGTGACTCATGCACTGTCAGCGTATGAATGCAGAACAATTACAACCAGGTCTGGGGCAAATTCTGAACCCCTGCTATGTGTTACATGATGAGCAACTGTCCCTGGCTCAGAGAAGGGACACCTGGCTGGATGCCATCTTCAAATGGTTGAAGGGCTGCTGGGTGGAAAGGGACTAGAATATTCCTGTAAGGTATCTATGACTTTTAAAAACAGTGACAAGTATTCTTTGGTAAGTAGGAAAAAAGAACAACACAGTAAAAGGATGAGATGAGATTTCTGAGGGGCCCAGAATGGCAAAATTACTTTTTTATTTTGGAGGGGGTACTAGGGATCAAACTCAGAACCTTGCACTTGCCAGGCAGGCTCTGTGCCACTGAGCTACATCCCCAGCCCCAAAATGAAGTACTTTTTGATGAAAAATTTTAAAAAGAATTCTAAAAAGTAGAACTCTCTAATGAAGTTGATTGCACAGAGAAGAATTAAGGGTCTTATCTTTGATGGGATTTAAGCAAATAATAAATGGCTACTTTACCCCATGCAAAATGAGGGGAAGTTTAATAAAGTGGCTACCCTAGGCAATGTCCTTTTGATTACAAAGAGGAAAGAGGAACCTTCCAAATTAGCTCTTGTTAAAGAAGATTTCTAGAAATAAGTCAACTCTCATCAAATCCAAAGCAAAACTGGACAACGGGCCTGCAGGAAGGATGGACGTGAGATCAGCTCTAAGACAGCCTCAGTGTGGTGACTCAGCTCTGTTCTTTTTCTGGGTTTTATAATTCATATTCTTTCTCAGGAATCTGAGAGGCCATTGGCAAGAATACGGACTTGGCCTTACCCTGGTTTAATCAGTGAATCATTCTTAGGAGTCTCATGATTCCAACATAAAATGTGGTGACAGACACCATCCATGCCGTGGGTGTAACATTCTGAGAAAGTCTGGGGTGGGAGGCAGCCTCCCTCCAAATGGTGATTATGGTCCTGTTCAAATTCAGGTCTCACTGATTCTGAATCAAAAGTCATTTCAAGCACATGATGTTCTTTGTAAAGAAATCAGGGCTCATCAATATTCAGCCAAAGGCAGGGAGACAACACATGTGAGACCTAGGCCATGAGACGAAGGGGACGGCAGATGGCCAGCACCTTGGCCGTGGTACCCTTCTGCTGGGCACACCAAGGCTAGGCCAGTGCTATTCAGGGGTGGATGACAGGGTTTTTTTCCCTGTGCAATTTTCAAAATAAAATTTTAAATTTTAGATTTACAGAAATTTAGATTTACAGAAAGACTGCACAAGTAATACCAAATTCCCATATAGTCTGCAGCCACTCTGTCATTAACGTCTTACATCACGGTGTGCTGCAGTCTGAATGTTTATTCCCATCTCCCAAACTCCTATGTTAAAATCCTAACCTCAAGGCACAGGTATTTGAAGGTGATTTGGTCCTAAGGGCGATGCTTCATGGATGGGATGAGCAGCTCATGGAAGAGGGAGTGCATCCTCTCCTTCTGCCAGGTCAGAGGACCCAGCACGGTGACCATCTACAAATAAGGGGCTGCATGGAGTCTGCCAACACCTTGACCGTAGACATCTCAGCCTTCAGGACTGTGAGAAAAACATTTCTGTTATCTGTAAGCTGCCCCATCTATAATATTTCATTACAGGCACTCACACGAAGATGCTATGGTACCTTGGTTTGATGAACGAACGAATGAATGAATATCAGAATAACATAACTGAACTCCATGCTTTATTTGGATTTTGTTAGTTTTCCCCCAATGTCCTTTTTCTGCTCCAGGATCCCACTTAAGATACCTATATTGGTCACCTACAGCAGCTAGAATAAATGTCCATAAACTTGGTGGCTTGAAACAACAAATCTTTTTCTGGAGGCCGGAAGTTTGAAATCTGCAGGGCAGGCCAAGCTAATCTCTGACCACTCTAAGGGGAAATGTCCCGATGAAGTCACTCATAGAGTCACAGGGCTGAAAGCACACTGCCAGACTCCGCCAGGACTTAATTTAGAATAAAAAGTAAAACTTGAACATTGATTAGAACTACACTAAATGCCAAGGAATGCAGAACCTACACATTTCTAACAAAAAATTGTTTATATAAAAATAAGCAACATTCCTTTTTTTAAAAAATGATACTAGGGATTGAACTCAAGGACTCAAACACTGAGCTACAACCTTGACCTTTAAAAAAATTTATTTTTAAATTTTGAAACAGCGTCTTGGTAAGTTGCCCAAGCTAGGCCAAACTTGGAATCCTCCCGCCTCAGCTTCAGATCACAGGTGTTGTGCCACCATGCCCTACTACAATGTACATTTGTTATACATAGGAATGGCATTTTTATTATTAAATTGGGCTTGAAATGAACAAAAAGATCCTATCATTATCCTGTAGGTAACCCAACACTGTATTCTGTGTTAAAATAGATAATCCTTTAACTATATTTTGTGAAATTCTACTCTGGCATTGTTCTAACTTCATAATCTGCAAACAGCCTCAAAAAATGTCACTGGAGAGCCACCACTGGACACCTGGGAAGGCTGCTGGGGACCTGGTTCCCCTCCCTGCTCTCCAGATCTACTCACTGCAAGTGGCTCTAGGGCCCATCCCTTCCCAGGCTCTTCTCTAAGGAAGATTCCAGTCCTTTAGGTCCTTATAGTAGGCTTGTGGATGTTCCCCTGTGCCCGGGTCAGACAGAGCCTGGCACGCAGCAGGTGCAATAGACCAGATTGGGTTCCCAAATTCTGAACACCAGGCCTTCATGCAATGGGGTCTGGGGACAGAGCCTTCGGGAGATAATTAGGTCAGGATGAGGTCATGAGGGCGTGGGCTCCGTCTTAGCCAGTTCAGATTCTACAAAATACCACAGTCCGAGCAGCTTGTAAACAACAGGGACTTTGCTGGAAGCCCAGGGTCAGGGTAGCAGCATGGCCAGATTCTGGTCAGGATGCTCCTCCGGCTTTCAGATGGCAGCTCCTTGCCCTCACCGCTCCTGGTGGAAGAGGGTGGGAGTTCCCTGGGGCCTCCTTTACCAGGGCATCGGTCCATTGTGCAGGGCTCCACCCTCTGACTTAATCATCTCCCAGTCGCCCCGCCTCTTAACACAGTTTCAACAGAGGAATCTGGAAACACAGTTCGCAACACGTTCTACTGTAAAATAGACAACTCACACAGACGGACCTCATCCTTCATGGTGCTTCTCACCCTCTTTATTTTCTAGAGTTGTTGGCAAGAACACCAGGCCCTTCTAGGCTAGTAAGGTAGTATCAGTGGCAGTCTGGGTCTATTTATTAGCACAAGAATAGCAAATGTTTTCTTTTTTTCCTGAAAAGGCACCGTCAGCTACTTGGTGATGGACTCCTCCAGCACCAAGCCGACACAGTGGAGTGCTGTGATTGATTAGGAATGCCTGGCATGGCTGTGGAAGCGATGGGGTGACTTCTATGGCAACCTGACTTAGGAGCTGCTATCCAGAGACCACTAATGCATGCACACCTGGCACCAGCATCAGTGATTCCTCTAAGGAATGCATAACTGCAGCCCCGATTCCTGAGAGTACAAGAGAAAGAAGGAGTGCGGTGGGTGTGGAGAGGGGTAAATCCACTGTGCTGGGACTAAGGAGCCCTTAACTCTTGTCTGTCTCCTGGGTCGGAACCGCAGTCTATGCACACACGTGAGGTCTGCATGCTGGGACCTCTGCGAGATGCTGCAGTTCAGTTCCACAGACACCTGGCCCCTCTCACGGGTGGAGCACTGCGCTAGGTACTATGGGGGGAGCAGAAGCATCTTGAGCCTTGTGCCCAGGGGCTCAAGTCTTCCAGATGAGGGGCAGGTTGTCCTTGGACTGTCTGTGACCCAGTGGGTGACACCAAGGCCAACAGACAGGCAGGGAGGCCCCGGACCGCCCGGAGGAGGGGAGCAGGGTACAGGGCAAGGGCCTGGCCAGGTGTGTGAGTCAGGCCAAGCCTAAGGGTTAAGGTTAGGCTTAGGGACTCAGGCCGCAGGGACAAGGCCAGTGCCCACTGGAAGCACAGTACATGGAGAGCAGAAGTGGGACCTGCTGCTGCCCAGGACCCTGGGTTCCCTCTACGTGGGAAAGAGTCAGGTGGCAGGCGGGGTGAAGGTGCACTTCCTCGAGGCCCATGGAGACAGGGTACACAGCAGTCACCTCAGCCAGAGCTGTTGGGAAAATGAGCACCAGGACAAGAGCAGCACAGGTGGGAAGACCAAGAGGGTGAGCGAGAAACACTCCAGAAACAAAGGCAGGGGAAAGACCTCCTGGGCAGGAGACTCTCTTGTGGGGAGAGAAGGCCAGAAAGGGGGTCAAGTCACCTCCTACACTCACAGCCCATGTAGAAGGAAATATCACAGACTGGAACGGGGTGCCCTGGATTCAAATCCTGCCTCTTCCTCCTTCTAGCTGTGTCACTTTGGGCAAGTTCTTGACCCTCCTGGGCTTCTGATTCCTCAACTAAAGATAGCAACAGTGCCAACCTCAAAAAACTGAAATGTGAGGGTTGAGTTAAAGCATACCAAACCCAACTGGGACTGTGTGAACATCCGCTAGAATCACAACTGTGCAAGGCAGCTGGAACATTAACCAGCACTTCCTCAAGGATGTTCCATGACACCTTCAACTAAGAGAGCAAAACAGAAAGGGAAAGCACATCATATCATATTCACATCAAGGGCAGCCAAGTCCACAGCAAAAAACAAACTAAGGCCTAGAGTGGCGGTGTACACCTGTAATCCCAGCACTCAGGAGGCTGAGGCAGGAAGATCACCGCTGAGCTACATAATGAGTTCAAGGCCAGCCTGAACAACATAGAAAGACCCAGTCTCAAAAAAAAAAACAAAAAAAAAGAACTAAAACTAAAACAAACTAGGCCAGGGATGTAGCTCAGTGGTGGAGCCCTGGGTTTGAACTCCAGTACTACAGAAAAGAAAACAAAAGGAAGCCTTAACAATGCCCACCTTTACTGGGGCCACCCTCTTCCAAATCATGTGTGCTGTGGAACCCTGGACATCTCACACAGGATATTCCGTGTGACACCAGTTTGGGACACGCTGGGGGGAAGGAGAGGACATCTCTGGGTAGAGGATGAGGTCTCCAGGAGCAGCCTCTAATGGGCAAAGCCACCAAGACCAGGGCTTGGGCAGGGAAAGAGGGAGGAGACCTCAGGTGTGATACTTGTAACACAAGGGAAAGAACAGAGAGACCCAGGACAGGGGCAGAGAGACCCTGAGAATTCATATTTGGGGAGAACGGAAATGGGATGCAGGGAGGGGTGGGGTCCTTCCTTTATTTAACCCCACACTTACAGTGCCCTTCTCCCCTTCCCAGTTGTGGCACTGGGGAGGCCCAGGCCGTGTAACTTGCTGAGGAGTGGCTTGGAGAGGGAAGCTGAGGACAGATGTTCTGTGGGGAGGAGCAAAGGCATCAGGCACAGACAGTGTGGTTGTAAAACCGACAGCAGTTTTCCCTTGCGGCTAGGCTCAACTCTGGGCTGGTGCTGAAAAAACAAGAGGGTGCGGTATGAGCTGCAGGCCACCTCTGCTGGCCAAGCATACAGGCTGTGCAGCCGGGGAGAGCCACTTGGCATCTCTGGCCCAACCCTCTTCCTCAGATTGGGTCCTCACACCTTTGCCACCTCCTGCCCCTGCTACACTAGCTGCACATGGCCCCCTTCCCCGCACATGGCCCCTCACCTCTGGAAGGCCCTGCGACAGCACCAATACACTTCAAAGCTGCTGCTGCTGAGCGTGCTGTTCAGGAGGCCCCCGCACCCGGTCTCGGGTCCCCTGGGCGCATAGAGGATGCCTGTGGAGGACAGCGGCTGCAGGCGGTGTCCTGGGACCACCTGAACCCAGGGCCCACTGGGCCCACCCTCACCTGCCACACAGGCGTTGACGAGGGACACACAGGTGCCCGTGAAGAGTGCCCGCAGCACAAGCCTGGCAAAGTCACTCCTCCGATGGGGGGCCAGGGAGGCTGCAAGGGACAACAGAGCTCAGGGCCAGCCAAGTGGTGCTTCCAACCACACCGGGGGGCTCTGCTCCCAGCTCTGTCTCCTCTATGCGGCCCAAGGGTGGGTGTCACCATCTCCCCTTCCCACTTGTGGCCTAGGTGAGTGCAAGCCGGGAAGCTCCCTGCAGAAGGGGGCCCACCGCCCTGCAAAGACAGGTCCTGCTCGCTGCTCTGGACCCTGATGCACACAGGACTCACTCAGGCCGCCCAGCATGATGCCAATGGAGCTGACGTTGGCAAATCCACAGAGGGCAAACGTTGTGAGGGTTTCTGCTCGGACCTGAGGGTATAGGCAGTGGAGAGGAGGGGCTCCCGGCTGGGCCGGGCCCCCACACCCCCCAGCCCAGCCTCAGTCTCACCCGCCCCCGTGTTCTTGACCTCCAAACCTCTGCACCCCTCCTGGTCTTGCTCTTCCAGCTCTAAGTCGGCTCCAACTTCACCCCATGGGAACAGCGCCACCCTCTGCCACCTGCCCCAAATCCTTCACCTACCCCCCCTTTGGGGTGTGATGAAGCCTGGCTCAGCCCCTCACTGTGGCCCTGCTCAGCCTATTCAGGGCACTGGGAAAGCAGCCCCTTCCCCACACTGTAGGGTGCTGCTCTAGCCACTGCGGATGCCCTTGGGCTGAGCCTGCTGAGATGCAGCAGTGCAAGGAGCGAGGCCCCCAGGCTCGATCAACCGGTCTGCCATCAAAATACAGTGAAGTCTACGGCCACAGTACCCTGAACGCGCCCCATCTGGTCTCATCTCAGAAGCTCAGCAGGGCTGGGTCAGTACTTGGATGCGTCATACACAGTGAAGGGTTACACTTAAAAAATGTATTACAGGGCCAGAGATTTAGCTCAGTGGTTGTGCCGCCTGCCCTGCAAGCTCAAGGACCCTAGTTCGATCCCTGGTACCAAATAAAAAAAAGTATTACAGCAAAAGTAGAAAAAAGTATTACAGCAAAAGAAGAAAAAAGTATTACAGCAAAAGACACACTGCCATTAATTAATCCCCTTTAAATCCTCCCCTGTGCTTTGAACACACTCATCCCATCGTTCCTGCCACCCTTGAGCGGTTCTGGAGTCCTCTTCTGTGGGCATCTTTATGAGTTGTAATACAATCCGTGACTGCTGCCGCCGAGCGCCATGACGGAAAGGCAGATTGTGAAAACACCCCGCGCACCCTCATCCGCCTCACTCGCCGCATCCGGCACCGTGCAACTTCTTTCTTTCCCAAAGTCAAAATGAGCATGAAAGGTAATTCCTGAAATGATTCAGGACACAGAAGCAGCTAGGATGATGCAAGTGAAGACCCTCGGGAAGGGGGACTTTCAGAGCCGCTTCCGAAAGTGGCCAGATGATAGCACGAGTGTGTCTGAAGCAAGGGGGTGTCGGGAGGGGAGGCGTGGCAATGTCTCTTACCACAATTCATTGTTAACATTTAAACATTCACCCCGGTTTCTGATCACCCCACATGTAGACAGCTATAAGGATCTTGTGACACGTGGGAAATGCCAGGCCTGGAGCAGGTGATTAAGGAAGTGGGTTTTCCCCCCATTTTGCCCTAAACAGTTGTTTCATTTCCTGGGAAGAAGTTTTGTTTTGTTTTGTTTAAGAGTTCCTTGTCCTTGAGAGGCAGGTGGTGGCATCACTGAGCTAAATCCCTGGCGCGTCAGGAAGAAGTTGTAAGAACCCAAATGGAGTTGGGGCTGGGGATTTAGCTCAGTGATTCTGCCACCTGCCTCACAGTGCAAGGTCCCAAGTTCGATCCCTGATACCAAAAAAAAAAAAAGAACTCAAATGAAGCAATTTGAAATGAAATAATTCCCTCAGATATGTACTTCCGCCCATATACAAAATTAATTCTAGAGCAAGAAGCCTGGGTTGAGGATGTAGCTCAGCAGCACAACAACTGCCTGGCAAGCGTGAGGTTGAGTTTGATCCCTGGTACAAAAAAAAGAAAGAAAGAGAGAGACAGGGACAGAGAGAAAGAAAGAAAGAGCCTCACTAATAAAATGTGATAAGCCTAAAATGATAGAAAGTAGGACAGCACTAATTCTGGCTACAAGGCAGCATGGTGTCAGTCATTTTGGAAAAGAATAAATGGAGGCTCAGAGTGATCAAATGACTGAGAAAGTTCACACATCAGGCAGTGGTTATGACAGAGTTTGAACTCAGTTCTATCTGACTTCTAAGTCCAAGGTTGTTATTTCATTACATTGTTTCAAGAAATTAATACTTACCAAACAACTTTCTAAGTATAGAAATAACAGAAGAAATCACAAGGGAAAAGATTTTGTGTAAAGTCTATGTTAAAAAACAAATCACTGGGGCCGGGGATTTGGCTCCATAGTTCTGCCACCTGCCTCACAAGCACAAGGGTCTGAGTTCGATTCCCGGTACCAAAAAAAAAAAAAATCACTATGTACAAAATAGTGAGGGGGTTAGGAAAAATATACAGAGACCACGTAGTGGTGCACCCCATCACCCTTGATGATCACTGGGCATCTACTGTGTACTTGGGGTGCCGTGGTACGTGTTACATCCATGTCCTATAGAAGAGGCAGGAGCAGCAGCTAGGCTGAGACCACAGGGATTTCAAACAAGAGACCCTAAGGAGACAGCAGCAGGGCCCAAGGCTGCCCTGTGTCCCCAGATGATACAGTTTTGGACCAGTGTGTCCCAGCCAAGTCCTGGGAGCCAGAAAAGCAGCTTCCAGAGCCCTCAGGAGCAGCTGTGCCACCCAGCTACATAGAGGGGACGTGACACTCACCGAGATCCACTGCTTCCTGGCACCAACCCACTCCTCAGCCCCGGCCAGGCGACGCTGCTTGTACTCAGATAGCCCCTGGTAGGCCACAAACTCGTTCAGGAAGAGCTTGATCCCCAGCAGCTCGGCCACCACTGGGCAGTCCTCCCATGGCACACCCATCAAGAAGGCCACAGGCCGCAGGACGTAGGAGCAGATGAGCTAAGACACAGGGCCGGAGGAGGGCTGGCACTGTGGTGGGTGGGGCTTGCCCTGGCCCAGGACCACCTCCCCAAGAGCTGTACCTGGAAGCTGAGCCCCGGGATGTCCACCAGGGCACCCAGCCAGGACAGCACTGCGTTGACGAAGGCCAGCACAGCCAGGAATGCGATCAGGTTGGCGGCAATGTTGGCAACAACTTTCACGGAGGCGGCAGCACCACTGCTGAGGGCTTCTACGAGGTTCTGAGCGTCTCTGTTGTTGGGAACAAGAGCACATGGGCATCCCCCACACAGCAAGGATCCCCATCATAGGGTTTCAAAGAGGGACCCTAGATAGAGCATCTCAGAATCACAGTCCTTGTCATCTCTCTGAGGCCCAAAGGGAGAGGGGAGCAAATTGGAGCACAAGGATAAGACAAGATTTCCTGCCAGGCAGGGTGGTGCACACCTGCATCCCAGTACTCCGGGAGGCTGAGGCAGGAAGACCACAAATTCAAGTCTAGCCTGGGCAATTCAGTGAGACCTTGTCTCAAAATAAATAAAAAATAGTTGGGAATGTAGCTCAGTGTGAAGGTCCTGGGTTCAGTCCCTATAACATGCATACATGGACACGGAGATCTCTAGCCCCATGGTGGTGGAATCCCCTAGCTATGTGTGGTTTTTGCCCACTGAGAAGAGGCTGGTCCAAGCTGAGGATCAGTACAAGTTAAAAGGACATGAGGTATCTCAGTAATCTTTCTTAGATCGATTACATGATGAAAGGACAGTATTTTGATATATTAGGTTAGGTGAAATGGGAACCACCTGTTTCTTTTACTTTTTCAAAGATGGAGACTGAAAAATGTAAAATGGTAGGCATGGCTCAGCATCTGTTTTCCAAAGGAAAGCCCTGCTGTTAGAACCTTGAGGGTGGGATTACTCTTTGGGACCCCAAGCACACTGGTCCTAAGAGGTTCCTTTTCAGCAATGGGTTGACTGACTGTACTGGGGATTAAACCCAGGGCCCTCACACCAAACTGTATCTGCAGCCCTTCATTTGTAAAAATTATTATTATTCTTTCGAGACAGCATCTCATTAAATTGCCCAGGCTGGATTCAAACTTGAAATCCTCCTACCTCAGTCTCCCAGTGTGCTGAGATTACAGGCGAGTGCCACCACACCCAGCTCTTTTCAGCATCTTAAAGGACGAAATGCTACCCTAAGGCTGTTAAGATTGAAGACGTTAGGAGAACTGGGCTTCGTACGTCAGTGTGCTGGCGCCACCTGGTGGTAATATCTTAGAGGTGCAGAGAAGAGACAGGCAGCCTCTGGGACCATTTCAACAACCGCCCCCACCAGGCCACACGCCCAAGGGACTGGTCACACTCCTGTACTTTGGCCAGTCTGTGGTTTCCGGCTGGTCAGAGACTGAGATTAAAAGGCAAGAACTGAAGTTTGTTTTGGAAAAATAAAAAAGCGACAACCAGGGCAGTGACCCAAGAGTAGGGGTCTTAGGCTGGGCAGAAGGAAGGCCCCGATGGACAAAAAGGACAGGGCCAGGGATGGGAGAACACGCCTCGCTCCCCACCACTTCGCTGCCCGCACCTTGCCCCGCTGCCCTCACCCGCAGCTCAGTTTCACTCCTTCCTCACTGCGGAACTTGGACTCCTCCACCTCGGGGTAGACCAGCTTGGACAGGGCCAAGGCACACGGGGCGGCCATCACGGATGCCGCGATCAGTGAGCTGGCGTCGATCTGCAGAAGTGAAAGAGAGGGTTATGGGTGGGCATGGCTGTTGCCATGGTTATTAATATTTCCTTTTATGTGCAAAGCATCACAGCTACTTGCACAAGAGACCGCAGGGAGATATGCTATCTCTTCTCCACAGGTCTACAGGTTAGGCAGAGCACAGATTGTTGTTCCATTTTATAGAGAATGAAACCTGAGGCCCCAATAGATTGAATACAGCTTTCCTGAAATAAAGGAAGAGAAGGAACTAAAACCCATCTATCTTTTGGCGCCGAGTTCAAGGTTTCTTCTTTCCTGTTAGGCTGTCTCTGGCCACTCAGTCCCAACAGCTAAGGGTCTCCAGGAGCTGAGGGCCTTGTGATGGCTTCAGACAAAGCCCTGGACCCCAAGAGTTGGGCTGGGTGTAGGGCATGTGCTAATATAGGAAGTAACCCTGGAGAGGACCCCTCTATGAATAAATCTTCCCCTTCTCTTCCTCAGGAATAGAAGGGTTTGTGTGTGTGTGTGTGTGTGTGTGTGTGTGTGTGTGTGTGTGTGTGTGTGGTACTGGGGACTAAGACCTTCACACTGATCCACATCTCCAGCTTCCTGCCCCCTCTGAAATTTTGTTTGTTTTTCATTTTATTTTTTAAGACAGGGTCTAAGTCACTAAATTGCCCAGATTGGGCTCAAACTGGGGATCTTCTTGCCTCGTCCTCCCAGAGTGCTAGAATTATAAGCATGCATCACTACACCAGGTGATGATACCCCACTTTTTTCTCTACCATTATGTTATTTACCAACTGGCAAGATGAGGATCAATTCAAACATATCACAGCAGGGGTGGCCAAACATTATAAGGATGTTGTCAAAACAAGGGTCCAACACTCCAAAGTCCCTAACCACTGGGGCCAGGGCAACTTTCTCTTCTTTCTGGTTTTTTTCTTTTTTTTTTGTACCAGGGATTGAACTCAGGACCTTTCACTCACAAGGCAGGCAGCAGCACTACTGAGCTAATCCCCAGCGCTTTCTGCTTTTTGATAACTTAAAATGTCTACAATAATCTACATCATGTTTATAAACTGAAAAGTAAAATAGGCCTTTTCCTCTTGAAGTCTATAATAACCAAATAGCACATTTATTTAAATTTTAATTAAACAGGAAAGGAAAGAGGGAGTGCAGACACACGCTCAGGCTGGTGACGGTGGAAGGCGGCAGCTGGTAGTGGGGTGGGGCCTGTGGTGGTGGTCAGAAGTGCCAAGCTGTAGCATATTTGGTGACATTCAACAAAAGCAAGTTACTGTCTTATCAATGAAACCCAACAATTTAGTAAACAGAGGCCTACTGAATGTTCCTTTGAACTAAAATTCCCATTTCTTTTCATGTACTTTTTAAAAATTAAAAAAAAAAAATATTCAGGCCTGGAACCGCAGTCCTTGTGGGAGGAAGCCTACCCTGGCCCACACCCTCTTTGGATTTTCTAGGCCAGGCTTTGGAACCCGCTGCTTCCCCCTCACTGCCTAGCTCCCAGGTGACAGTGCCACACCTGGAATCTTGGGCTTTTCTCTCCACCTGCCAGGGGGCTGCCTCTTTCTCCAGCTTGGACATTGCCCCTGGTTTATAAGCCCAAGTCCCAGTAGAAATGCACTCTATGGTGTCACATTCCTAGACACAGTCTTCCCAGCCCCAAGCTGAGGCCCAGGCTCAAATGGCAGAGTGCTTGCTTCCAGCTCTGTACAGAAAAGGGGGAATCCTGCCCAGGCCCGGCCACACTGTAGGTAGGGATTGTCCCCAGCTCTGCTGCCAGGCCCCGGGTGAGGAAAGCCTTCTACCTGCAACCCCAGGCCTCTCTGCCCACCTGAGGCCCTCCTCAATCTGACCCCAAATATCACCCTGTGAGAAGAGATCAAGGACAAGCACCTTCTGCTTGACTATTCAAAAGGATCTTTACTAAGAAAGGAAATAAAACCACAGAAGAGGCAGTTGCAGGACAAACTTCAGACTGTAATATGCCAGAAAGAAAATGATCACTCTCCCCACGCTAAGCTGTGCCTTTCGCCTCTGACTCCTACACAGCTGTGAGGTGCCCATTTTATAGATATGGAAACTAAGCAACAGATGTCACAGGGGAACATGAGTGGTCAACTCCCGGATGTCACCCTGCCTGGGCTGGAGCAGAGAGACCAGTGCCAGGGTGAACAGAGAGATCAGTGCCTACCCTCGAGCCTTCAGAGGGCAGCGCAGATGCAGACAGGGCAAATCTATTCAGTCACGCAGCCCCTGGGGCCACACCAGCCAACAGAAACAGTGGGAGCCACAGACATTGAGTACACATTTCCAGGAGCCACGTTTTAGGAAGTCAAAAGAAATCAATGAAATTAGATCTTAACAATGTAATTTAATTAACCCAATATTTCCAATTGTTTCTTTCCACCCATGTAATCAACATGAACTTACTCATAAAACATCTTAATTGTCTTTTCCATGCAAGGTCTCAGGTTGCAGCTCATTTCAGGGGCCCAGGAGCCCTGTGACCATTGACCTCCAGGTGGCGCTGTCTAGAGGGGACCAGAGGGCAGCGATCCACAGGGTGTGGGCAAAGGGAGCGGGAAGTGGAGCCATAAAGAGTATGGAGGGGGAGAGCCTGGAGCAGGGGCAAGAGGGACTTTGCTCTCCCCTCGGAACTCGGTACAGGGCAGAGCCAAAGTACAGGAAGGAGGGGGCAGGGTACAGGCCAGGCAGGGCAGTGGCAGCAGAGGGACGGCTGGGGGCAGAAAGAGCTGCTCCGGGGCCAGAGGCAGGCAGGAAGCAGAGGCAAGGAAGGAAAGTTGGCTGCGACCAGTTGCGGCTATAGCCTGGGCCAATCCTGGCTGCTTCCTGTGCTGCGCCCTGAAGGGAAGGAGGAGCCAGGCGCTGTCAGTCTGGGGCACTGGGCCGCCCAGGGCCAGGCGGAAGCCGCTGAGTTTTTAAATCAGACTATGTAGCTGGGAGAGAGTTCCTCCAACACAGATGGTCCCTGACATAACCATGTTTCAATCAGTTTTGACTTCACGTGTGCAAGGGATGAACACTTAGCAGGAACTGTGCTTTTTTTTTTCCTTTTGGTGGTACTGGGCATTGAACACAGGGCCTTTGCACTGAACTACATCACCAGCCCTTTTTAACTTATTTTATTTATTTATTTATTTATTTATTTATTTATTTATTTATTTATTTATTTTTGAGACAGGATCTCAGTAAGTCACTAAATTGTCCAGGCTGGGCTCAAATTTGCGATCCTCCTGTCTCAACCACACAGAGTGTTGGGATTATAGGGCTGTGCCAATTTGGATCTTTTCCTGCTCGCAATGCTGGGAACAGCAGGCGTGGCCCCAATGTAAGTCAAGGAGCACTAGAAAAGAAATTCTGATCAATGATCAGGCATGTTTTTACACCTGGCTGGGAGGCCCAGAACAAGGTCAAGATAGTTAAAGGCCTGATTTCCAGAATCTATTATGGCAACTCCTCCCTTAATACTTTACTGTGAAAAACATTGCAGGAACAAAGTTCCAGGATTTCGTTTTTGAAATATCAACTTCCTTCCAGTAAAACCATCAGCAGGGTGGATACAGGGTACACCTAATGAGCCCTCACTAGGCCTCAGTGAGACAAGGTGCAAACCAAACAATAGGCTTCAGGATCCTAAACAGGAGGAGCCAGGCTGGAAGACAAAGCCACAGAGCGCCAGGGGCTAGACATGGTGGCACATGCTGTAATTCCAGCTACTTGGGAGGCTGAGCAGGAGAATCCCGAGGTCAAGCCCAGCCTGGGCCACCAGCTCTGCCCAGGCTTCTGTGACAGTGTGGCACTGGGCTCATTGGTGTGGCCTGATGTCTGAGTGAAGACAGGACTGAAGGAAGGTGGGTTTGTCCTCTTACCCTCCCCTCAGCCACCCTGGAGGACAGAGATCAGACAGGTAGAATGGGGGACCAGAGAATGGGAATAGTGTGAGCCGCCTTGCTGTTCCCCACTTTTACACACGTGGCATTCAGAGAGCTGAGACAGGCAAAGGCAGGTCAAGGTCCCTCGCTCCAAGGGCTGAGCAGCCATTGTAATGCATGGGAGACCTTACTCCCCTCACCCCTCAGTGTTAGACATTTGGGTTCTTTCTGGTTTATTTGCTATTACAAATAATGTTGAAATTTTGCAGTTTTTGAACATTGTGTGAGGCTATTTCTGCCTCCTAATGAGGCAGGAGGCAGTTAAGGAAAAGCCCAGAGAAAGAAGGGAAGATCTACCTTCTGAGTTAAACATCAGTCTAGGGCTAGCTCACCTACCTCTAAACACAACAGAAAAGGTAACCAGGTAACTTAGCTTATATACAATCAGCCCCCAAACATGAGCCTATTGGTGCTCTGCAACCCTTGGCTGACCCAGCCCTAATTACCACGTCACTATGATGACTGACACCCTCCTCAGCTTTGGACGCCATGACTGTTTCTCTAAAGGCCACAAAATGCCAAAAATTCTACCCCCCTGGAAGGGCTGACTCACTGGCAGGAGTCATACCTCAGACCAAACCCTCAGTCCTATTGTTACCCTGACCTGGTGGCAATGACACTGCAGGCTGGATCAAAGGGAAGGAGTATTCCACAGATATTCTCCACAAACCTTACAGCAAATTATACCCTTGCCACAATGGATAAGACCCCACATCCTTGCCATTTTCAGGTGTGTGAAGTGCTGCACATCATTTTGAACAAACATAAGTTATTAGGGTTTAATTTCTTTGAACATCAGTGGGCTCATTGAGTATCTTTTAATAATTTATTAAGTGTTCTCTCCTGATCGATAATTTGAAAACATACGTGCTCCCTGACTTGTGATTGGGTTACATCCTGGTAAAACTCAATACATATACAAAATATCATAAGTTAAACATGCATTGAACACATTCAAACTGCCAAATACCCTCCAAAGTTCAAAGCATGATTCTACTGAATGTGATGATTTCACACCATCATAAATGTTTCCACAATATCATAAAT